CTTTATCCCTTTTTATTTTCCTTTTATCCTCATTTATTATTTTCCAGGTACTTTTCAATTTATTATTAGAATTAAGAATAATTCTACTGTAGCTATTATTACTTTTCATATTTTACAGTATTGTTTATAATATATTTTAAGATTTAAACCATTACTATGTCTGCATAATAATAAGAGTTCTCTCTTTTACAAGAGGTCATTATCCCTTTTGTAATCCATTTATACTTAATATTATTATATTTGATTTCCTTTTTTTGGGAAACAGGCATAAAAACATCTTAAATAAGTATTATGAAAGTTATTAAACATATTAATATTATTATTATTCCAAAAAATATCCCACTGTTCCCAACTTAATAACATTTGAAATTCAGCTATATTATTTTTATTAATGTTTCTAGCAAGGATAGATCCAAATGTATTATTAGGTACAGTAATATTCTTAAATGTTATGAGCTGGGCATCATGATCAGACAGTCCATTAATACGTGGGATGGCTGCCTCTTAGCCTCAAGCTGGGACTATGTCGGGATTTCACGTGGTGACTTATAGTGGCCAACGTTACTCAGCCACTCATCGGAGCCAACTTCCTCTCTCATTTCGGCCTCCTGGTGGACTGCAAAAACAACTGCCTACTGCGTACTCAATTAGTTGTCTTCCCCAGCACAACCAGCCAACTCACTGATTCCCAGCGTGAAGCCCATCAGTAGCGACGACGAGCTCCAATTACTTTGGCAGTCGAACACCGCTTTGTGGCTCGAGAAGCTACCAATCCCCAGTACCACAGTGTCCATCTACTGCGATACTTCTGCCGGGAAACCTCGGCCGTACATTCCAGCTCCTCTACGCCTCCAAGCGTTCTAGTCTGTCTATGATTTGTCACACCCAGACACCAAAGCAATTGCGAAACTGGTCGCAAATTGTTTTGGGTGGCCAGGCGAGCAGAGGGATAGCCGCACCTGGGCAAAGGCTTGCCAATCCTGCCAATGCTCCAAAGTCTCACACGACACAGTCACTCCATTGGGTGACTTTACTCCGCCGGCAGCCAAATTTCTTCACGTCCATACAGACGTCGTGGGACCCCTTCCAACATCAAGAGGCTACAAATACTGCCTCACTGCAGTCGACCATTTCACCCGCTGGCCAGAAGTCATCCCCATCCTGGATATCACAGCCGACACAGTGGGATTCGCCCTACTGACCAGATGGATATCCCGCTTAGGTTGCCAGCAGACCATCACCACCGACCAGAGACATCAGTTTGAATCTCAACTCTTCCACTCCCAAGCTCTGTGGCATTCAACTCTTGCAGACAACCGCCCACCACCCAGCAGCTAATGGACTCATGGATCGTTTCCACTGGACACTAAGGCAGCCATCATGTGCCATGCAGACCAACACTAGACAGAAGCCCTTCCCCTGGTTTTCCTCGCAATCCGCACGGCATTCAAAGAGGACCTCCAGGCATCAGTAGCTCAGCTCGTGTACGGTGAGCCACTAAGAATACCAGGAGAGCTGCTGACTCTGATTGCCGATCCATTTGATCCAGCGCACCTCATCACCAAGCTCCGCAAATATATGACCCGCCTTACTCAAATTCCAGCAACACGCCATGCTTTTTTGACTACATTCGTGCACAGCGACCTCGAGAAGTGCACTCACATCTTCCTCCGGCAGGACACGACTCGCAGAGCGTTGGAGCACCCCTACAGCGGCCCCTACTGGGTCCTGTCATGGAATGAGAAGACAATGTAAATCCTCGTGCACAGCAGGCCCATCACTGTGTCAACCGATAGGGTCACACCTACCTACATGCTGAACGAGATGGTCCGTGGGACCACCACCAACACCTTCAACCCTACAGCTGATGCAACCCCAACCACGGCTCGGCATGCCGTGCCACCACCGCCTGTAGCACGAACTACACGCTTCAGGCATCACGTGTGTTTTCCTGCTCGCTTCAACAGCTGAGCAAACATCTCCACAGGGGGGGTGATGTGGGTACTATCCACATTCAAAAAAATGTTACAGTGACACCCTGGAGACCGGCATTTTTAAATCTAGTACCCTAACTTCTGCACTGTTCACTTTAAAAATTAATATAAAATCTCCTAATTAATTTTATAACTTAAAATTTTTAGAGAGCACTTACCAATGGTCCTAGAAGTGCTTGAGAGTGTGATATTTCTGGAAACATTCCCCACTGTGAAGTGGCATTACACAGAACTTGCACATGTAGACAGTCATACTCCTTTTGTTGTGTACTGCACAAACACGGCATCTTCTAGAGGGCTGCTTCCCCTTGGCATGTTCATTCTTCACAATTTTCACAAGGGTATGTTTCCGCATATCACCTGAGAGTCGCCCAGGGGGGTCCACATGAGGCCTGCGTGGAGTGGGAGTAGACAGCCCCGCTCGTACTAAGACTGTGTCTGCTGCCGGTTCTGCCGCCACCGTGTGGTCTGTAGCCCAGGCCTTTGCCACATTCAGCAGAAATTCTTTGTATTTCAATTCCAAATTAGGGTTTAGATTTTTGTAAACCAAAAATGAATTGAAAATGGCACAATTTATAAGCCACAAAGCAACTTTCTTTGTCCACTTTATTGTTTTCCTAGGAAGAGAATAATAGACCAAGTACTGATCGTCTCTATCAACTCCCTTCATGAACATATTATACTCAGAAACACAAATAGGCTTCTTTACCTGTCCATGTCTCCTCTGAACATCAACCATGCTTGAATTGTGAATTGTGGAAATCATATTCACAACATGAGTATCCCTCCAGGACTGAAGAAGAATATCCCCCTTCCTCCTGAATGTGGTTTCACCACATTTCAAAGATTTAGATTCCTCTTTCAGATCTGGAGGAAGGCCTCTGTTCACCCTAATTGTTCCACAAACACGTATTTTTCTCGAAAGAAGGTATTCTGCAGTTCCCACACTGTTATAATAATTGTCTTGATAGACATGGTAATTTTGATCAAGATAGGGTTCCAAAACGGAAACAATAGTTTCTTGTAATTTCTTTCCTTCACCAGAATAAATTTCTAAATTTCCAATATAGCGTGAAGTGCTTTCACTAACTACACGAACAAGTAGGCCATACTTTGTAAGTTTCCCAGGATTATATGTTCGAATATGAAGCTTTCCCCTCCAAGGAATCACAGATTCGTCCAAAGACAGTTGTTGGTTTGGCTTATAAACAGTCTGAAATTTCTGAATGAAGAAGTTCAATAAGGGCTGAATTTTGAAAAGCCTGCTTGTCGATTGTGGTTGCAGTTCATTATTATTGAAATGCAAACACCACCAAATTTGCTCAAATCTCTTACGGCTCATTAGTTTGCCAAAAATTGGAATTTCTAAAAATGGATCTGTTGACCAATACTCTTTCAGATTATCCATCCTTGTATGGCCCATTAGAAAGATAATTGCAAAAAATTTTCTCATTTCTGCTGAAGTGACATCCACCCACTTCAACGCCTTATAACTTCTGTCATAATGTTCACGGTGTTGGAGATAGTATCTGTTAGTTTCCTGACTTAACATGTCAAAGAAAGTATCTCCAAAAAACAGTTCTGCTACTTCAGACACTTGCGTTGGGTCCGATGGAATCTGTTTCACCCCCGGATTTCCAGTAAACTGTCCCAAAGTAGGCGTTTTGTCTACTTTTCCCCATGTGGCTGTCTCCGCAATATTACTACCCGCATTTTCATCAGAGGTACTTTCACTTTTAATGTCTGTGGCCACAATTCCTTGTTGTCCCCTGTCACTGCCACTGTCTGAGTCACTATCACTACTCCTGTCACAAGGCACGTCAGACAACTCATCAGAGAACAAGTCAGATATTTCTTGTTCTCCGAGAGATCGCTTGGTCTTCAACCGCTTTCGTCCTTGATCCATATTGCACTACTAACTTCCTGCCTTGTACATACAGATTGAAGGGACAAAGATCATTTTCCTTTGGAGTGGGGAACCAAAACAGTGAGGTCAAGTTAGAGACTACTAAGCAAACATTCCGGAGTTTTATTACCCAGTAGTCACCTAGCTGCGTGGCGCCAGAGCAAGGTATATGGTGTTACAACCTAACGTGTCCTAAAATCATGATATGCGACCGGTCCGCCACGTTTAAAAGCGAAAAACAGTATATCATTCAACCGGTCCTTTAGATGATGTGTGCAACTAATAATCAAACATACGTTTCCTCGGTGTGCGTCTGCTTATCTGGAAAGCAGTTGCCTGATTCAAATCGGCGACATTTCTCGGAAATAGCGGTTGCCAGTTTCCTTGGTGTGCCCTCTCCCTTACCCTTCCGTTTCCTCGACATTTTATATCAAACTCCTCTGTCTCACCGCGCATTTGCTTCATCTGATGCCTTGTTACGAAAAACCACAGCTCACCTAATAGCGAATACTCCGGACAACTCGAATTTTTTTGACTAAGTTCCTTCTGAAAACAGTACTACTGTTCAAGAAACTACGCCAATAGCAGTAGGTCTCTTCATGGGAACCACAGCACAAAATTACTACCGATAACTAGACACGTCTTATCTATCCAAGCAAACTACGTAATCAGAAGGGTGGCACAGCACATGATAAATAGCAACTAGAGACGTGTTATCTATGCAAGCGAACTCACAAGGGTGGAAGGGCTTGACCACGTTCACCTCCACATACAAGATTACTTCTGCGTGCCCACGTTGTATAGAAATGCATGCGGCAGATATTACAAATCGCTAAATACCTGTGGAGGTATACAATAAAGGCACTGATTGACCACTCACGCACATTTGTTCACATACTGCTATTATCCACAACACGCAGTGGCTTTGTACCCAGCCACCCTGTTAATACGGTCAAACCTATCCGTTTCCACTCTTTTCACATTTACACGACTACAAACACTACAACGATTGAAACATTAACAGCGACAATTTGCGCACGGTGTGCACCGGTGTGCACTATCAGTTTTACAAACCGAAAGTTAAAACATTGCAGGTTATACTTCGTCTCTCGTGATTTATTCTCTTATTTCCTTAAAAAGGAACCAGTTGATAATTTCGTCTTTGAATATATTATATATCTTCTAATTAAACTATCTCTTATAAATATGGCTCGCAATGGAGGGTGGTAATGCTGAAACATGTTGTGCCATTTAATGGCGGAGAGGTTATTTCAGAAATGTTGTTTTGTGTGACGTAGTTAACATTTCAACAGGTGGCGAGATAGGAGCCGTTATTATTGCTTTCTTTGTCATAGACAATACCGATTAAAGTTTTTTCGGTAAACAGTGGTACAATGTCATGACATAATAAAATCTGGTAAATTCTTTTCAGGAATACGAAATAATAAAGATGAATGACATACACGCTATTGATGTTTGGCGACGAGAAATTGTGAACTGTAATTTACTCGTTAAAGCCCTGATTCAGGTACTCTGCTTTATTTTAACTTCTAATAGCATACAGACTGGATAAATTCGCAAAGATATGTTTGCATTATAGATTAAACCATTAAGCCTCGTAAAATTAGCGAAATTGGAAATGTTTACATATAAGCCTATTGCATGTATATTTTTGGGTATGGGGTCAGCAAAGTTCAGGTGATTATGTGCATCGAAGAAACGTGTAAACACCATTTCAGCTTCTTACTCAGGACGTACCAGTTACAGACTTCGGAAAGATAAAAGTCAAGAAAATGTTTTGTTTTCAGGATATCAATACATGTCCAGGGCCACTTGAAGTTTTAAACGAATTGAACAGGGAAGGTCGATCTAAGATTGGAACTCTCAGGAGTAAAATAAATCAGTTAGAAATTCTTGCCAAAGAAGAGGTAAAAGAAACAGAACGAACAAAGCTTTTGAAAGAAGTGGAAAGCCATCGAGATCAACTTGCAAGGTAGGTGGGACACAGATTTGATATGGGCATGATGGTGGTGAGAGAAATCCCTGCTTTTGCAGGAATCAGACTGCCATAATGCCAGCCTATAGGCAGTTGCTTTAATCACTGAGCTATGCTGGCTCATCTGCTGTGGTGAGAAAGGTCTCATATATTTGTACTAAAATATCCTGAAAATATGCTGTAGAGTTAAATTTATGTCAAGAACAAATGAGTACATCCTACTAATGAGATACTCGTGATGAAAATTGGTTTATGTAATAGGCAGACTTTTGTTTAAAATACATGAGAAAAGAAAGAGGGTGACAAGTTTTCAAAGAAAAATATATAAAGATATAAATTTTTATGGTTAAACGATGTAAATTGTTAATATGTGATAATACACGATATGTATGCAGTGTCCGTCTTTTAGTGCACTCAATTTCGCTTGTTATTCCACAACATGTTTCGGCACTATAGTGCCATCATCAGGTGCTCCATTTAAGTTAATCTGTTTCATTGCTTGCCATTATGTCATTGTCATGGACAAAAATCAGTGCAACAGGACGCTAAAATACAACATTATGTGATAGTACTATAAAATCAGTATATTTGTGGGCTAATGAAAGAAGGTGTCAACTATTATCATGTATCATTGTCCAGCAGTCTGTTGCCAACCATGGTTTTGCCAGCTTTTGGGTTTCTTATTTGTATCTTTTGTGAGCCATGATATTTTCATTTAAGTCAGCAGTTTCTGCACAGAGAAATGTTTGTTTAGGGGACGGTCATACTGAACTTACTATTTTGGTGCACCTTCTTGTATTTTTTGGTCTTAATTTACTTTTAAACATGGTAAGAAAATTTACATTTAATGAAGTTGGCGGCTTTGAGTTTGAGGAATGTTAACACCAGCCAGTTTCAGCTGCTGTGTTTATGAAGGGTTGTAAACCCTGCAGTTATCATGAGATTTCTATATACAGGAAGCAACAGATAGATATATCCTGGCTTATGATGTCATTAGGCGGTAAGAAGATGCAGGTTCGCTTAGTGGGGGGTGGAGTCCAACTGGGTCCACTTGGCACGGCGGCCACTGATTGGCCTATTGTAGCCTGCCCCAGGTGATTATGATGATGGAGAATTTGGTGGAATGAAGATTGGCAGGGGAAACTGAAGTACTCGGAGAAAACCCGCCCTGTCCACCACAAATCCCTCTTGACCAGACCTGGTATTGAACCTGGGGCGCCACGGTGGGAAACCAGCAACTAACTGCTCGAGCTGTGGCGCGGCCAGAAGATGCAGATACTTCAGAATGTGAAGGCCAGGAACAGCAGCTTACACAGAACCATTTGGGCTGGAAGGACTTTATACATACAGGCAAGTTAGTTTTTAACATATCTTTTTTTCCTGATAATTGCAGTACAGTTGGAGCATTTCGCAAAGCCAACATCATGTGTATGCTTGCAATTCAGAAGTCCAACAAGGAGGAGCTTTTAGATCAAGGATCAGAAGAGGCTGTTTTACGCCACAGGTAAGAACGTCATTGAGCTTGTGAGAGTATATTTTTTTATTTTGCTATTAGTTATATCATTTACAAATAAACATTATTTTATTCCAATGCCAAAATACAGGCAGCGTAAGGATAAGGAAGGACTGGTCAAAATGTCATCAGATGTAACAGAGCAGTTACTGTCAATTAGTCGTCACTTGGCTGAGACAACGCAGCGCAGTGCTGGCTCCCTTGAAACACTAGGTATGACTGCGTTCCAGTTTTTTATTATTACATATATAAATAGGAATTTTGTAATCTACACAAGGGTAAATAGTTCTTTTATGCCTTGTAATATAAGGATGTATCTGTTATGAGTAACTTCTAGGACATTTTAAATGGAAAATCATAAACTAGCCACCTATAAATATGTGTCAAGACAGCAGTGATTATCAAGGAAGGATGTGTATGCATTTCTTCTAGTATAAAATATGCTGTACTGCTTTTTGGTTTAGTATGTCAGATTTTTCTGAACACTTGTGTGAAAATTTTCTGTTGAGGTATTACACGGCACAATGACCTTAAATGGCTAAAACACCTATTTCTTATACACCTGAGAAAAAGCGTGTTTCTGAGTGACATTTTAGAAATGTTGTGTAAACATACTGTTCTGACATTTGAATCAGTGTAATTTATTTTTTTTATTTGTTATATATATTTTTGGCACAATTCTGTGGCCCTGCTATATACTAGATAAAAGATAAAGTTGTCCTAGTGCTTAATTAACCCTTCAAGGGTGTGCGACGCACCGTATGTGTCTGCTCAGTTACATGCATCTAGCTTGAGTTTAAGCGGGGGGTATTTAAATCCCTCCCGGTGCTTTATTTTCGCAAGCATTGAAGGTTTTGTGCAGACATTTACCTAAATATTTTTAAGCAACGAAATCGCTATTTGAAAAATTCCAAAAAATTATATTATATTTACAGTTGTTTACAGTTCATTATTATAAATATCTATTTACATTTTGCCAAGCTATTTCTTTTTCCCAGCTCTCCATATCCAGTGTCTAGTAGTTTACCTTGGTGTGGCATTGCTCAAAACAGGGGTCTATGCAGAGAGATGGTGTCCCTGGCAGTTTTTACACCTGTATCTGGTTTCTTTTCTCTTTCCATTTTATGTAGACACCGCACATCTTCTTCCACCTTTGTAAGTTTCGGTTTTGGGATTTTCTTGAATGAAATGCTGACCCGTCAATATCGTACATTCCATGTCTGTATCTGAAGGACTCCCTTTCCGCTTTTCTAAATTCTGTCCATGGGACTTTGCTATGATCTTATTCACTAAGTTTATTCTGAATAACAGATGATCTTTCTTGTTACCAGCCTTGCAGTACAGAATGTAAGCATTCAACACTGCCGTATTTACTTAGTGGTTGAATAATTTCTTGTACCACACTTTTTGCCTTTTCCTTTCTAGCAAGAATGTTTCTAGTAGCTGATCTTTCAAGTCTGAACCTCCCATATATTTATTATACTCTATTACACACATAGGTTTATTTACAAATTCTAACCCACCCTTTCGACTTATGGGTTGCATTTCGTCTGAATGTTTATTAGTCAGCACTGAGACATCACGCTTATCCTTCCACTTCAACGCCACCAATTTCCCATACTTTGCACTAACTACTTCTCCTTTCTTCAGTTTCTTTTTTAGATCTCTTGGCATAATTTTGCACGTGATACTCACTGTTCCAACAGCATCTGTTGTCCTCTGAACTAATCTCTAGAAAAGATTGGGACTGCTATAAAAATTGTCCATTTAACACATCTGCCCGAGTGTAATAGTTTCTCGCACAAATTTAGAACAACTTTTGTTGAGAAAAGATCTGTGTCTTTGGTGATTTCACAGCATAATTTTATCCCTGATCCACTGTAAATTATAAAATTCCACAAATATCCTGCAGAATCACAAAGTTAAAAAATTTTAAACCCAAACCGGGAAGCTTTCATAGGAATATACTGTTTCCACGAAAGTCTACCTTTCCACAGTAACAAAGATTCATCGACACTTACTTCTTGGCACGGTATGTACACTTTCTAGAACTTATTTTTCAAATATTCACTTACTGGAAGAATTTTGTACAATTTAGGATCTCTTTTTGCAATTTCCTTATAGGTGGTATCTACAAAATGGAGAAATCTGGTCAGCAATGGAAACCTTTCTTCACTCATTACACTGGGAAAAAATGGTGTTTCTAACATATGTTTCCTACTAAAATACATCCTGAGGTTTGGTTTCTGAATTATTCCCATCAGCATAAGCAAACCTAGGGATACCCTAATTTCATTCGAAGTTGTGGGAACCCAATTTGAAAGCGCTATTTTATTAGCGTCAGGGGCAAGAAACTGTTCCGTCAGACAAGTTACGTGATCAAATGCCGTGGGGCTCCGATAAGAGTGTGTCACAAAGCAGAAAAGGAATAACAAATTCTTAAATGTTGACACAGGCGTCAGGCAACTTCGACCCCTAAGTTCGTAACATCGTAAATCAGACACACCTTCTTTGTCGCCAGTAAAAAAAAAAAAACACACACACACACACAGATAACAAGCACTCAATGAAAGCTAGCTAACAAATTATCTCTCTGAAGGCAAGTCGGAGTGTGAGTTGGAACAATTCTTTCGTAAGCAGTAGACACCAGATGCTTTGTCCCAAGCAAAGTGAGTAGAAAAAATACCACACACAGACAGATAGCAAGGAATGAAACAAGTCAGTATTAGCTTACATAAACATTCACTGGAAGTACATACATCAGAGCATAGGTGTTAAGAATTCTTAGTGAAAAGTTTGGACACAACATAAGCGGCGCGCACGCTTACAGCACGGGTTTGAGCGGACGCAGATGGTGCGTCGCACACGCTTAGGGATTTAAATGGCTCCGCTTAAAGTCACGCTCAAGGGGTTAAGCACCATAACATGAAGACATATGAAGGAGTGGAGGTATAGCTCCACCAGTCTTAACCTTGGCACTAGATGGAGGTGAATGGTCATCTTCACGCACTGGCTGCTTTATCCCTGGGAAAAGAGTTTGCAGTACCCATTGAATAGAATGTTGAATGGGCTCCAAAGGCAGTCTGGACACTGTGGGAGAAAATCTCTTGCCTCTACTGGGAGTTGAACCATGGCTGTCCAACCCATAGTCTATTGCTATACCAACTAAACTATCTTGGCTCTCTAATTACCACTATACAGTATATGTTGAATATGTTACCAAGTGACCGAAACTATTGTAAATAAGCTGGTAGAAAAACCAGATTTCTATAATGATATTCAGAATTTTACTGTTCTGAGAATTAAATATACACTCAGAAATTTCCCAGCAAACTGTATATAAGATAATGTAATCTTAATATGATTCCATCTAATCAACCAGGATGTCAAAAGTTAATTTTTGAGACACAGAATTACTGGGTTTTTGGAATTTTTCCATTGTCTGGAATTCTAGGTAATAGAACACACGACGTTTCGGAAACTGGCTCTGTTTCCATCTACAGGTGAGAAAGGAAGACACCTACTCAGTTGGGCCCCTTAGAAAGAGCTAATCTCAATTGAGATTGAGAGTAGGTGTCTTCCTTTCTCACCTGAAGACGGAAACAGACCCAGTTTCTGAAACGTCATGTCCTGTATTACCTAGAGTGTCCTCTGTTACCTAGAATTCCGGATGATTAAAAAAGTCCAAAAACCCAGTAATTCTGTATCATCCACCATCGTCAGAACCCTTTAGAATGTACTTAATTTTTGAGGATGGTATCTGAAACCAGGCTATAAAGAGTCTCTCTCTCTCTCAAAAAAAGAATCAGTTGATATGCACGTCAGAACATTTTAGTTAAAATTTCCAAGTACCTCTGTTTAAGTATTTTTTTGAAGAGACAGAATTTATTGTAATGTATGTGAACCTTATTTCACTGTAGCAAACTCATCCAGTAATGTTCAAGGCACTCAAGAAGAACTCAAAACAACTGGCAGTGTCATTCTGCAGTCAAGAAAACTACTTGCTAAATATGGCCGTCGTGAATTTACTGATAAGGTTCTTCTGATTTTTGCATTTGTATTCTTTCTTGCTTGTGTTTTGTATATCTTACAGAAAAGATTCTTTTAATTGAAAATGGACTGATATTTCTATCTGAGTATTGCACTGTGTCTCACTTTAAGTGTGACACTGGAGCACAGACAGTGATTTACTGAATGTTTTTAAGACTTCTAGTATATGTATGTGTGTAAGGGGTGGGCCATAAAATCTGGTCCCTGCACTGCGACCTTCAATGATCTATTGTGATTCTCCTTTCGATTAACCCTTTATTAACCCTACACTTTGAATGAAATGTAGGACTTTGTTTATGGGGGTGTCATAAAAGTCACTTGATTCTATGAAGAACTGACCCACATACTGACAAACACACAACATGAAATTCCTTCAAATCAACCTCAACCATAGCAAAGACTCCTAGTAAAGTGATGAATTGTAAAAAATGTAATGTATATTAGAAAATTATGTATGCACATATTTTATGACAAAATCAATAAAATGATATTTCTGGAAGAAAACAAATGTTACTAAGAGAGGCTGTAAGACATACTGTAATACAGATTGAGAAATAACTGTATCACTTGTAAAAAAAACTTCATAAAACAAATCCAGGTTGTTTGGAATATTTACTGATTCTAGATGTATTCTGTACGGTTTTTTTTTTTATTGCATGAATTAGTAGAGCAAAGGAAACAGGATATACTCGTATTGCAGTGGTTGATGAATATAGAATTTTGCTCACAAAAATTTCAGGGGAAGAGACTGCATTGGAGTCATAAGGTAAAGTTGTCCCTGAGCTTAACTAATTAAGTACTACACCATGAAGATGTATGGGGGAGTGGGTGTATAGATCCACATCTTCTTGACCTCAGCACTAGTTGGAGGTGAGTGGTCAACTTTACGCCTCTGCCACTGTACCCCAGGGAAAGAGCCCACAGTACCCATTGGATAGGAGGCTGGGTGGGCCGCAGAGTCAGTCTGGATGACATGGAGAAGAGAAAGTTCTTGACTCTAGCAACGCTTGAACTCTGACCCCTCGATCATCCAGCTTGTAGTCAGTCACTATACCGACTATGCTATCCATGGAAACAAAAAGCATTTTCATTACCATAGCCTTTTCAGGGTAAATTTATACTTTGGTATTCTTAGTATCTATGACTGACTGCCAAAAGATTTTGGTGGTACAGCTAATAAACTGAATCCACCCCCCATAAAACGTGTTCTTCCATTGTTTGTAGTAGACATCAAATCATGTTCATGCTCCTTCACTTTCTGTTCACGCCGTTTCTGAAATAAATAAAAAAATTACAAGTCTGTCTTGAATCTGCATTTTACTTTGTACATAAAAATGTAACAATTCAAAGGAAATGTATGACATCCCCAAACATGTTGACTTTCATAAGAGCCACTGTTTTTAACTGTAACACCCACAATGAACAGTCTTCTTTATGTAGTGATCATCTATACCAGGCATGTCCAATGCATCGATCATGGGACGATTTTTGGTCGATCTCATAGGCCAGTAAGGAAATTACCCATTGAGCAAGGCATCTCTTGAAAATAAGATATTAACCCTTAAAAATGACATTTTTCTCAAGACTCGTGCTGGACAAGAATCATTTTAGAAGTTAGTGCCAAGATGCAGTGAAATCGTACACTCCTGTTTCGGTTCAACTTATTTGTGTGAATCTGCATTTTCTTACCTAAAAATGACAGAGTAAACAACGTTCTAACATGACAGATGAACATCTCCAGGATTGCCTGAAACTGGCCCTCACCCAATACTCACCTGACTTCCAACAGCTAGTGGATGAAATGCAGGCCCAGACTTCTCACTAATGAACAAGGTAAGTCTGTACTTTTCAATGTACGTATGTTGCTTTTACAACAAACATCATGTGTCATGTTATTTTTAACAATATTTTTGCTTAAAGTGAGGTATGATGATAGGAGGGGGTGGTAGATCACTGCCAGTTTTGACACTAAAAAGTCGATCACAGCCTGTTTGAAGTTGGACATGCCTGATCTATACAACCAGTAAGATTTCTTACTTTTACAGAACCCAAAAGTTCATGAAGTTAATAAATATACAGTTTATTGATACTAATTTTGAAGTGATTTAAGAAATATTACTGATATATATATATATAATTTTAGCTGCCTAAGACAGATTTAATGGTATTAAAAAAAACTCCATGGGTTTAGTCCGCAAGCAAACTATACTGAGTGCTCGCCGCTTGTTGATGAAGTTCGTGCCAACTTTAGTGGACAGAGGGTGTCATGTGGTCAGTGCAGTGAATCCCCATGGTCATTAATTTCGGTTTTTAGACCAGAGCTGCTATCTACTTGAAATAGCTCCTCAATTATCCTCGCTAGGCTGAGTGTACCCCATTCCAGACCCACTACTACTCAGAAAATCTGGTAGCACCAGGAATCGAACCCAGACCTCTGGATCTGTAGCCAGGAACTCTGACCACTAGACCACAAATACAGTCAATTTAATGGTATTAACTGTTAAAATTATAAAAATTCTTAGCTATAAAACATATGTGATTGGTTCACCTGTGCAAAGTATTTTTTCTTCACAGTTTGTAATTCTTCGTTGACTCTTGCCAAGTGAGATTTGTATTCTGATACTTGTGCTTCATACATGTTCAGTTCTGCTGCCAAACACTGAGAAAGAGAAAATAAATGACAGAAAACTTGAACATTGACTACAGCATGAAATATTCAGCTTATCTTTACACACATTCATGATAACAATGACGTTTTACTGCTTCTGTGGCTCTCTAGCTTAGAGGAAACTGGAAACTGATTTAGATTGTGTGATGATCACATTATTTTGTGGTACTACTACTACTACACACTACAAAATTGCATACTTTAATTTTTCTGTCCTTGGCCTTGAGGGCGTGTTGCATTTCTTGCAACTGGGTGACCATCTCTGGTCCTGGCTGACGGGCTAGCAGTTGACGTAAATTTGAGTAGAGTAACTCACATTCTTTTAATTGGGCCTCTTGTTTAATGGTTGTTTGGGCTTGAACTATAAGACGCTTCTGTAGGAGCTGAATCTTCAGGATTAGCTCATGTGTAGCAGGATCTGAGCCCTTTATTCACAAAGAGAAGTAGAATATTAGTGACACTTAACAAAGTAGTGTTCACAGCTGCTTACCAATGAGAAACTGGATTACTCTTTGCAGTACAGCTTTTTCTCTTATCCCTGTATCTATTCACAAGTAGGTATGCTCAACAAAAGAATATTGCTTTTTTTACTATCGAGAAAACAAACTACAATTTCTGTAACTTCATCATTATTATTGACAAAAAAAAACTCCATGGTTTTAGTATGATTTGAGCTTGACGTAGTATGTGGGTTTCACTGGAATAATACAAACCTAAATTAAATCTGCCTCATGGCTTTTAGTGTTAGACACCCGATACCAGATTCAGGCAAAATTATATTGTAGATGAGACAGATCAACAGACAGACTTTTATATGGCACCTCCCCATTATGCAAGCTTTTAACATGTACTTTATGCAAATACATAAAAATGAAAAGGTATAAGCAGCATTATGTGAATGTGCTAGAAGCGAGATGTGATAAAACTCAGTTCAAGATAGAGAATAAATATGGTAAGTTGTCTTTTTCCTTTTCTTTTTCTCATTTAATTAATGGTATGTGTATATTTATTCGTCCTGAAATAATTCACACTAAGAAATATGCTGACATAGGTATTCTTAATGAACTCACTTCCAGTTTCCTCCAACGATGAATATTAAGAGGGTTCTGTAACTCCTCTTCCAATGCACGACGCTTCAGTTGCTCACGAGTAAGGTCTGTCTCCAGGTGAAAAATTTCTTGGCGCATATCTGTCATATTGGTCATGCTTCTTGTGAGCAAGTCCTTTTCTTGCCTAAATTATTAAATGATGTAGGAAAACCAATAGAAGAAATGCAGTGGAATCCCCATTATCATTCCTCATTTTAAGAATTTCTCCTATCTTAATACTCTGACCCCTTGCTATTTCATGTACAAAGTACTCTGTTCTGGAAGTGATGCCATGCAGTCTGGTAGAATTTTACTGAGTTTCAGAGCATGTTTGCTTGTTAACATACTCTTTGACCCTAAAGATGGAGGCAGTATGTTTCTGTGAAAGATCATTAAATTTCTACCCGTCTGCATGGTGTCACATCTTAAAAGAGGACACCATGTTTCACCTGAATTATTGCTGTTAGGGCACAGTGACCCTGGTAAGTAATAATTTGTTCAGATTAGGAAGTTGACGATTCTGAAAAATTTCTTTAAAAAAATGATATGGAACTTTTTGGTCAGATGTGCAACACTGAAAATCTTATAATTACAGTATATTTAATCACACTTTTCTGATTTCATACCTTATCACAGGTAATATAGAACAACCCAGTAGAATCAAATGTTCTCTGCCACATTTAATTTACTGAAATTTAATGAATAAAAATTGTATTAAAATAAATAACTAGTGTGATAGGTCCACATATAGAGAATTTAAGAAATACAGCAAATGGTTAAAATATTATAAATCTTATTGAAAGTTTGTGTTAGAAGACCGTGTACTATCAAGATTTACCTGAGTCTTTTAATATCCAGTTTTAGTAAACGAATGTCCTCCAACCTCTGATCATATTGTGCTTCACCATTATGGAGTGTAGTCTGTAGAATCTTTGTTTTATCATGCAGTGAAGACAACTCATCATTTCTCCTTGCTAACTGTGTTCCTTGAATGTCTCGCTCATTCATTATCTGAAAATATATTTTCTGTAATATAAGTTCTAACCTCTTGCCATCCAGTGATACCTTGCATGGGTTTGTACATCTGAAGGGTTTATAATGTATAATTCCCATTTAATTGAACCTGGGTACAAAGAATGAGCAGTTTTTGCTGTATATTTCTTTTCTTCTAAATGAAGCTTTGATATATGAAAAACACATGGATCATGCTTCACACCCATACATCAGAACTGGTTTTAGATCTAGTATTTCTATAGTACTACTCGCATGTGGAAATAAAGATTGTTTTTTTTTTTACTCAGTGGACTTTCTTATCTTTAGTAAAATGTAAATTAGTGTGCAAAGGCATCATACTGAAGATATGTAGGGGACATGGAGATAAAGCTTCATAAATTTAGATGGCAGCAATAATCAGTTTCATGCTCTAACTCATCTAGCTGCAAAGAAAGAGCACCCAAAATACATATAATGAAAGTAAACAGTGACTTTGATTAAACCAGACTTCTTACTGACATCCTAAATGGTAAGATACGGAGATAAAAGATTAAGGAAATATGTTAATTTAGTAAGAGAAGAGTACAGAAAAAAAAGGTGATTTCTATTTACCCGTTCCATTTCCTTCTTTTGCTTCTCTCTCTCATGATCTCCATCCTGAATGATCTTAAGTAGCTTTCTTTCCTCTAAGTTATAAGCTGTAATCTGTTCCTTGCTATCATGTAATTCATCTTTGAGTTTCCTTATTTCAATTTTTTGGATCTCTCTTTCTTTTTTGCTTTTCTGTAATGCTGTAAAACAAATCAAACCATTTCAGATTCATGTGTCAAATATTCAGTAATTTGAGTATCATAGATTAGTTTAGTTTTATTTGTTCAGTTTGAATATTTGTATAGAGACTTTGGAATAACCCAGGAAGGTGCAGAAATAAATCCTTGAAATAATAAACAAACCAGTGAAAACATATAATTCTGAATTCTTCTACTGTGTGCAGGTGTGTGTGCATGAATACATATGTAATAGAAAAGGAATGCAATTAAAATTAAGTTTAACATTAATAAAATTATTTTTTGATTATTTAATCCCTTGAAGACTTCTTTAAACAACACCTTACCTGCACTGGCAGCTACATGTAAATGGCAACATGCCCATACTGTTGCAGTGTTACTTTAGTTTTATATTTTCTTTGATGTATATAAATTAATAAAATGCATTCCTTGGTTAAAGAGAAGATTTAACAACAGTTTGTCTGACAATATTAAAATCATATACTTACTACTTTAAGCAAATTTTGATCTGCATATCACCAAAGGGTCACAGTGAACAGAATGTGCAATAACAACATCCACTGGACCGTGCCATAGCTCAAGCAGTTAGTTGCTGGCTTCCCACCGCGGCGGCCCAGGTTCGATCCCAGGTCTGGTCAAGTGGGATTTGTGGTGGACAAAGTGGCGCTGGGGCAGGTTTTCTCCAAGTACTTCGGTTTCCCCTGCCAATCTTCATTCCACCAATTGCTCCACAATCACCCTCACCTATCATATGGGGCTGGTACAATAGGCCAGAAGTGGCCACAGTACAAGGGACTTAATCTCACCCCACTAGCATTAAAAAAATCCATTTATTTTCCACAAGCATTCTATGGAGTTTTGGATATCTTACTGGTCTTTAAAGTCATTTATTTCAGACACAAATCTACTGATGCACAGCTAATCTATAAAGCAGAGTAGAAGGTGTAATTTCCTGAATTTCATTAAATATTCACTAAAAATAATTTCTTAAATTTCAAGCTCTCCATGAGGTCATGTTCTATACCAGCTTCTGTGTGAGGAGGTATTTTTTTAGTTTGATTTGTACTTCATATTATATAGGAGTTATGTCAGTTTGATTCAGACCAAAACTAAATTTGCCTGATAACTTTTTATATACACTTCTCAGTAACAAATTTCATTCAGACAAACCAATCAGTATCCTAAATGAAATGTGCAGGCAAAACTTCTGTAGTATATGATCATTTATGCAATTCAAACAAAGAATATATATGTAGATAGAGAGGTTAAGTTATAAACCCACAGGATATAATGTGACAAGCTATCTTACGTCCATCGCCGCGCAACGGCTACAATGGAAATTGTGGAGATCCCACAGCGACAGATAGTGATGAATAGCGGTTGAGTAACAATGGATGAGACAAAACTCATTACCAGTGTATAAAGAGCGTTCCAGAAGCAACGGATTGCCGAACGCATGAGATGGAAGCTTGGTGAATGGTGTCTTGTATCCGGTCCGCAGAACACCTACATAAGCCGAGAACTACAGAGCTAATTAGCCTTCATACAACACAATTGGAACCTAGTCGCCAGACGTCAAGTGACACCACAAGTGATTATAATTGTGAAGAGTGTAAGATTGAGTGTCCAATAAAGATTCGCTAAATCCGAGACCCACGAATTTATTTGTCATGTGACAACTGGTGTCAGAAGTGGGATCGGTTCAGAGCCTGAAGCGAATTTGGAAGAGTTGCGTGGTGATGGACATAAGATAACTCATCACAATACGTATATTCATGATACATATCCCAAAATTATCTCTGAATCACATCTCATATTTTGAAAGCAGGAATACAAAATTGGAGTTACAATTCTGGTATTACCATTCTCTTCTTTCAGGAGCTGTGCCTCCTTCATTGTAATGTCCTCTTTCAGTTGTTCAGTCTGATGGCTCAAAATCTTCAACTTCTGCTTAAGTTCAGAAATTTCATCCTGTAAAAAAATATCCAAGAATGACAGTAGTGATCATTTGAATATTTGTGTTAGATAAAACAAACAAAACAAAACAAATACACGTTCTTATGGTGTGTCAAAACACATGTAGAAGAGAAAATGAACGTGTGACATAATTTCCTTTCATCCCTTCTTCTCTTTTCTAGTTTATCATATTTTGTATTCCTTTATTGTATATGCTGTTATAATGGCCAGGACTCAAGAAATACACTTACCCATTTGCATGGTTGAATTAAAATAAACCAGTGTTGAATACATTTCTATCCTCAATCTAAATGTATTAAAATATCAATAAAGAAATTGATTATTATTATTTGATTTGTTTCATTCTGGTCCATCACACTAACAATATTATAAAAGATAAAATAACTCTGTCCTGTGTGACTGTTGAAGTTTTTACTACTTCAATTCTTAACACCCTTACATGTTTCGGTCCCTATAGACCATCATCAGAGGGACATCGATACTCTTTGGAAACCACTATTACAATGGATGTTCTGACTGTTAAAATATATACATATACAATGTTTGTAATGCACAATATATACAAAATACAACTACAGCGGTTGCTTTCTATTTTAGGCCAGTTGGTCTGCCAATATTGTGCATTTCTTAAATGTAATTTGTATAGTTGATTGTTGATGTTTTGTTTCTTAATATATAAGTATTTTAGTTCGTTATTTATTCTAAGTTTGGTTAATTGTTTTTGGGTTAGCTTCATGGCGTTACTTGTCCCTTCTAAGTTTAGGTTGGCATACTTAGGCATGATGTTTTTGTTTTGACAAGTTCGATTGAACCATATATGTGCATTGGTTCTCAGTAGTTTCCTTTTCGTATTGATGTATTGATTTACCAGTTTAGCTTGACTAACTTCGATGAATTTGATTTGTTTCATTCTGGTCTGTCACACTAACAATATTATAAAAGATAAAACAGCTCCGTCCAGTGTGACTGTTGAAGTTTTTACTACTTCAGTTCTTAACACCCTTACATGTTTCGGTCCCTATAGACCATCATCAGAGGGACATCGATACTCTTTGGAAACCACTATTACAATGGGTGTTCTGACTGTTAAAATATATACATATACAATGTTTGTAATGCACAATATATACAAAATACAACTACAGCGGTTGCTTTCTATTTTAGGCCAGTTGGTCTGCCAATATTGTGCATTTCTTAAATGTAATTTGTATAGTTGATTGTTGATGTTTTGTTTCTTAATATATAAGTATTTTAGTTCGTTATTTATTCTAAGTTTGGTTAATTGTTTTTGGGTTAGCTTCATGGCGTTACTTGTCCCTTCTAAGTTTAGGTTGGCATACTTAGGCATGATGTTTTTGTTTTGACAAGTTCGATTGAACCATATATGTGCATTGGTTCTCAGTAGTTTCCTTTTCGTATTGATGTATTGATTTACCAGTTTAGCTTGACTAACTTCGATGAATTTGATTTGTTTCATTCTGGTCTGTCACACTAACAATATTATAAAAGATAAAACAGCTCCGTCCAGTGTGACTGTTGAAGTTTTTACTACTTCAGTTCTTAACACCCTTACATGTTTCGGTCCCTATAGACCATCATCAGAGGGACATCGGTACTCTTTGGAAACCACTATTACAATGGGCATTCTGAATGTTAAAATACATACACATACAATATTTGTAATGCACAATATATACAAAATCCAAAGTTTTCATAACTACAGCGGTTGTTTTCTATTGTAGGCCAGGAAACTACTAAGAACCAATGCACATACAGGGTGTCCCAGGAGGAATGGACCAAACTTCGGGAGGGTGTTCCTTATGTTAAAGTATGCCGATATAACCCAAAACACCTATGTCCAAAGTTGAACGGTTACGGAGATAATGGCCAGAGAAGTGTGAAACTTTNAGATAAGGCCTCTCAGCTGATAGGTATAGTCCGTAGACCCGCTAGAAGACCACACTTTTCTCGGGCCATTATCTCCGTAACCGTTCAACTTTGGACATAGGTGTTTTGGGTTATATCGGCATACTTTAACATAAGGAACACCCTCCCGAAGTTTGGTCCATTCCTCCTGGGACACTCTGTATATGGTTCATTCGAACTTGTCAAAACAAAAACATCATACCTAAATATGCCAACCTAAACTTAAATGGGACAAGTAATGCCATAAAGCTAACCCAAAAACAATTAACCAAACTTAGGATAAAGAACAAACTAAAATACTTATATATTAAGAAACAAAATATCAACAATCAGCTATACAAATTACACTTAAGAAACGCACAATATTGGCAGACCATCTGGCCTACAATAGAAAACAACTGCTGTAGTTGTGAAAACTTTGGATTTTGTATATATTGTGCATTACAAACATTGTATGTGTATATATTTTAACATTCAGAATGCCCATTGTAATAGTGGTTTCTAAAGAGTATCGATGTCCCTCTGATGATGGTCTATAGGGACCGAAACATGTAAGGGTGTTAAGAATTGAAGTAGTAAAAACTTCAACAGTCACACTGGACTGAGTTGTTTTACCTTTTATAATGATTATTATTATGTATGAGAAACAGAAAGGAAAATAAAGAACATATTACTTTTTGTTTCCTGATTTCAGCATTCCAAGTTAAGTGTTAAAATATCTCTTGTAAGTATATTTGTATCCAAAAACATTAGACACGATCAGAAGCTAACAACACCACATGGAAGTTGGTCCAATAATACAATGGTATGTACATGTTACACATGGATGGAAATAGGATTCCTTTGATAGCATAAACAATTAAACTGTCAGATAAACAGTCACCTGCACATGCATGCTACTTACATTACACATCTCTCCCATGTCAACACCAATAAGAAACCAAGAATACAAAAAGAGACACATGAATACAAGTGACAGCTAGTGGGAGAGGGAGGAAACAAGCAGAGGGGAAGCAGATGGTTAGAGGGAGAATCTTTGTTCATTCTGTCCATGATATGAATGCAGGTAGTGAGATAGGAAAAAGTATACAAAAGAGAGAGAGGAACGTGTGGACACAGATACAAGAGGAGCCTTATGGAAGAAGAGGGAAGTAGGGAGGCGTATTTGTCATGAGGAGATCCACCCTTATAAAAATATAAAAATGTTAAAAGCAACTCATTTTGTTTCAGTTCCACATTAACCTGTAGATTCCCTCTACTGTCACTCATCTATATCACTGTCCTATAATGTGAACAAAATTCTTTGATCACTGGCATCTACAAACCGATTCTTTTCTGCCTGCTAAGAGGACAGAGGCTAGAAATAACAGAGTTGAAAACACAAGGAAAACTGGAATTTGAGGTTCTCACAGAGATGGTTATGAAGGGTTATACTTTCTGAGAAATAGCACCTTGCAGCCTTTTGAAAGTCAACTGACATTTTAGAGTAAAATGCCACCTCCCACTTCAAGGGTAAAAAATAAACCATGCAAGAAACAAATGTGAAGCATAACTTTCAATGTACTACACAGCATGATATCCCAGAAGATAAGAACTTTTCATAAGGAAAATTAATATCGCAAGCACATCAGCACTGCCTCACCTGGGCTTCAAGTAACAGCTTTCTGAAGGTATTTCGATCACTTTGGACTGCTTCAAAGAGCTTTTGTTGAGTATGAAACTTGGTATCTGCTTCTTCTATCTTCTTCTTATAATCAACAATAGATACCTGCTTGAGCTTCACTTCAGCTAGTGTATCCTGTAACTTTTGAGTCAGTTTTTGAGACTCCAGTACATATCTGAAATAAACATAATTAATTTCTTTCTTTCCACCTTTGACTGTCTTATGTTTAATCAATACTTAATTTTTACACTGAATCTTCTAACATCAGGTGCTGGAACCTTTATTTTAAAACAGAGAGAATTTTTGATTAACCCATCTGCCTCCACTAGCATACCCATACACTTCCATGCTAGAAGCCACAGTCATTGCAAGCATATTTTTATGTAAAACATGAAGGATTCCCTTTAGTAGTTCTTCTGCTACCTGTGAATGATATTGTAAAATTATATGTTGTAGACAACTATAGAAGCTGCATTTGATATCTAGAAATCAATCAGAGTCTAGTCTGTAGATGAGGAACATTATTAAAAATTATGATCATTTCCTGTGGAAGTGGAGAAGGATGCAGATGGATTAATTACTAGTGGTAGCAGTCATAATGGCCACATACTCCAAGATGCATATAATGTTGAGGCACTCAAACATTGCGATCACAGATCAAAATCCTTTTCATGAGAGTCTATATTTTTGTGCTACCCTGTGTCATCCTATATAGGTAGAAGCCCTGTGATGTGCTGATTCCTCTGTGAGGAGCCCTACCAAATGTCCCAAAGTTTCACTGTTTATGAATTAATACATACGGGGACAGATATTTTAATATACGATAGCAGAGCAAAATATACTTGTGACTTTGCCCACTGAAGTCAATGAAAAATGCAGACACATACATAACTTAAAATAATAATTACAAGACGTTTCAATTACTTCAGAATATACTGTGAAGGCTTAAAAGAACAATATCTACCCTTTCAAAAAAAAATTTTTGTTAAGTGTTGTGTTAAAGAACTCATCCTGTACTAACAGAAAATGAAGGCCACACCATAGCTCAAGCGGTTAGTCGCTGGCTTCCCACCACGGCGGCCCGGGTTCGATCCCGGGTCTGGTCAAGTGGGATTTGTGGTGGACAAAGTGGCGCTGGGGAAGGTTTTCTCCGAGTACTTCGGTTTCCCCTGCCAATCTTCATTCCACCAATTGCTCCACAATCACCCTCACGTATCATCTGGGGCTGGTACGACAGGCCAGAAGTGGTTGCAGTACAAGGGACTTAGTCGCACCCCACTAGCAATAAAAATAAATGAATGTTGAGTGCCATTAAGTTTGTGTGCAATAGTGAGCTCCATTATGAAGCCATTTCAATCCAGTTCACATCCTATGATCTATTTTAATATTATACTCTCTTCCTGTCTCAGTTTTTCAAATTGATGCTTTTCAAGAGGTTTCCCTCCAAAATTTTGTATTCAGTTCTTGTTTCCTCCACATGGGTTATATGTCAAGCCTGTCACAACATCCTTCATTTGACCATACTAATAGAAATATGTGAGCTGTATAAATTAGAAAGCTGCTGATTATGTATTATTCTCCAGTTTCGCATATCTTGACACCCTGTTTCTCAAAAAGATGCTACCAGAATACAAATAATTAGAAAAATGTAACCACACCTGTCTCTTTCTTCCTCAAGACTTGCAACAATTTTTCTCTGTTTATTTACTTCAGATTTGAAATTGTCAATTCCTTGCTCCAAGTTTCTCTTTACTTGTTCCTGTAATTTTATTTTCTCCTGTTGTTCATATGCTGCTCCTGGAAACAGGAATTATGCATTTAAAATGTATGAAGTTAGCACTACACAGTTGAAACAATGTCACAACAAACTTTCACAAAGAGCAATGTACCTGATGACAATCGATTAGTATCATATAAAATGGGTGTTCTCAGGCACATCACAACCATATGAATAAAGAGATTTACTGAGGCTACTTTTGTGAATAACAAAATTTTTGTGTCTGTATTCAGCTTTCTAACATATACTAAACAAATATGAAACTCTTCTGTCACGTCATTTACATTTCCAATTGTTAATCACACAAAGATATTATAACGTGTTTGGAGTAGATACTTCCATGGTAACACAATAACAGTGGGCCGCTGGGTAGACCGTGCCAAAACAATGAACACGTTTCCCCAGAGATGAACAACAGAAGGCCATTGAGTAACAACGGATGAGACGAAACTCGTTACCAGTGTATAAAGAGCATCCCTGAAGCAACGGATTGCCGAACACGTGAGACTAAACCTTGGTGAGGGGTGTCCTCTACTGAGTCCGCAGAACACCTACATAAGCTGAGAGTATTAGAGAATCAGACAGAGTATTAGAGAACTGAGCATCGAAGTTGGGCCAGAAGTCAAGTGACTCTGCAAATGATAGTAATTGTAAGGTGTGGAAGATTGAGTATCCAATAAAGATTCGCTAAATCCAAGACCCACGTGAAGTTATTTGTCGCGTGACATTCCCAACACGTGACAACTGGTGTCAGAAGTGGGATCAGTTCAGATTCCGAGATGAATTTAAAAGACTGGACTTACGCATGAGCTGAAATGGAGTCACAGCAGATGTTGGAACTTCTGCTGAAGAAGATGGAGACAGACAAAGAAGAACTCCTGGCTAAATTAGACGCCAGCCAGGCCAAGGCGGACGCCAGACATGAACAAATGATGGCCGATTGGAAAGCCTGGCGGAAAGAGAAGAAGCCGACCTCACCGGACAGGAAACCTGAGGCGGCACAGAAAGAAGAGGTACCCGTAGTAGACGCCGAAGTAATGCTGGTCGGAGAACCGAAGAAGAAAAGGTGTAGGGACCAAAAACTGGCCGCGGAATACCGCTGCCAGAAAGCAAAGAATTCAACATGGGGAAATTGTAAACCCCAAAAGAAATTGGCCATTGTCCACAGAGGGATGAGCCACCGTGCAACAGTGGCATGTCAAAAGCAGGAAACCGACAAGGAGATGTCCTGTCGCGCAGCAATGGCACGACATAAGAGAGACATCGTAAAGTCTTACATTACCCAGGAAAAGTGTCACCCACAGAGAGAACTTGTTGATTCTAGAACTAGGACGACCCACTGTGCAAGAGTGGCATGGGCAAGGATAATGCTGTCGGGAAAGTTGGTGCCAGGGACAATGTGGTACAAGGAACACAGAAAGGATGGACACTCGGAAGAGACAATGGACACAACCGCAATGTAACAAGAGGGACAAGAATCGAGCCCTATAGAAAAATGACCGGACATGAGACCACGAAGCGAATTACCGAATCTCCTTTCCCACCAAAAAATGTCAAGAAGTGGATCTTGTGGAGGGACCAACCCCCTCCAAAACGAAAAAAGGGAAACAGCCCGTATGGGAGGAACCGGTAACATAGAAGTACCGACCTCCCCCGCAAGGGTGAATGAAGAAAGAATGAATGTGAGACAATGGGACCGACAACCACTGGACCTTGGAAGTGCTCGGGGCGAGCACTCTGGAAGAAGGGGGGCGGATGGAAGGAAGGCAAAACACCGAAGAAAAGGCGGAGGTAATACACAGAAGATGAACACCTTAGGAAACGAAACCAAGGATGCACTGTTAGGCTGTTTGGGACGAACAACCTTTAGAAGGGAGCAATGTAACGTGTTTGGAGTAGATACTTCCATGGTAATGCAATAACAGTGGGCCACTTGGTAGACAATGCTGAAACAATGAACGTGTTTCCCTGGAGATGAACAACAGAAGGCCGTTGAGTAACGACGGATGAGACGAAACTCGTTACCAGTGTAGAAAGAGCGTTCCTGAAGCAACGGATTGCCAAACATGTGAGATCGAACTTTGGCGAGATGTGTCCTCTACTGAGTCCGCAAAACACCTACATAAGCCAAGAGTATTAGAGAATCGGACAGAGTATTAGAGAACAGCATCGAAGTTGGGCCAAAAGTCAAGTGACTCTGCAAGTGATAGTAATTGTAAGGTGTGGAAGATTGAGTATCCAATAAAGATTCGCTAAATCCGAGACCCACGTGAAGTTATTTGTCGCGTGACATACCCAACATGCGACAATATTATGAAATTTACTCCATATTCTTGCCAATATGTACAGCAGCCATGGTTGTTAAAGCAGTACACTAGTATTGCAGTATAGTTTTTTAAAACAATTTGAATCCTCATTCCAAATTTATTTTCTCTTTTAAATTACATGAATAACCCTTAATTTCTTTATTTGGGTGTCATTTTTCCAGCAAGAATTTTAGCTACCAATGTGACATTGACAAAGAAAGCAACACATCCCAGGCAAATAACAGGTACAACAGCTTGCAAAGAATATGGCATGAATCTTGAACTAGGCCTCCCAAGTGTTTTCATCTATTCAGATTTTCTGATTTAAAATTTGGATATAATTTTGCAGTGCCTTCATTCCTGCTGCATGTTCTGTCCATCTGATCCCCCTTGATTTACTCAGCCTAATATTTGGTGAAAAGTATAGGTTACAAACCTCATAACTGCCATGGCCACAATAGAAAATCACTGACTTATCATCTCATATGGTACAACTGTTTGAAGATTAATTCTGCCTTGCAGTTCTCAATAATAAAACCATACCTGCTGCTTTGAGAATATTCTTGTTGAGGTTATCTTTTTCCCTCTGTAGATCATCACAGATCTTCTTGCTATTCTCTGCTTGCTTCTTGGCTGTTTCAAGGTTTTTCTCAAAGTGACCAATAACCCCTTTCAGCATCTCTTTCTCTTGCATCAGACTTTGATGCTGATTCTCTGCTTGTGTCAGCTTCTTAATGTACTGTTCTCGCACCTTCCCCACCTTAGAAGCTTCATTTCGCAGTCTTGTAACTTCTTCTCCTTGCATCTTGTATATTTGGAAATAGAATGTGAAATTAATACAATGTATGTTGACAATTATCATAGGATGTTGACATAGGAAGAAACATTCTAGGTGTTTTTTGCACAAAATACATAAAATGAACACACTGTGGAAACATCAGTCCATCTGTCTTCATACTTCACGTCTCTAACCAGTGAGTAGGCTTTGACTTGGGGAATGGGCAATGTGCAGTAAAACCTGTAAATGTAAAGCAGTGTCACTACAGCCCACTGTGAATCTTGGCTTTCCTGTGGAGGTATAACTCCAGTCTCCCTTAAAATTAAGCACTAGGCAGAAGTAAGTGGATAGCTTCATGCCCAGATTCATCATCTCCAGTACCCACTGGATAAGAAGCTGGATTGGTCCCAGAACTGGTCTGGATGCAGGGACAAATACAGAAATCTTACAATCTCTCCAGTACTGTTAACTTTCCCACAAGAGTTCAAAATAATTCTAGTTCAGCGATAGATAATATATTCATTGATAACTCAAAATTAAGAGATTATACTGTAGGACCCTTTATAAATGGCTTATCCGATCATGATGCTCAACTCATAGAAATAAATAATATTGACTTTCAGCCCAGTAATCAACAATATAAAACAGTAAGGAAAATCAACAAGCATACGATGGCAGATTTTGTCACAAAATTAAGTAATGAATCGTGGGACAATGTATTTGACAGCAGTAATATTGATTCTAAATTTAATTGCTTTCTGAACACATACGTGAGGATCTTTTATTCAAGCTTTCCCTTAAAAATAGTCAAAAAT